AATTAGGTATCAAAATAATGCTCATCTGACCGTAATTAAATGCCTAAAACTCCTGAACTTCCGGGGCTTTCCCCCCTGGACCCCGTCTAGGGCGCTAAGGCGGACCCCTGAATGCTAATCTGACCTTAAATTAAAACCTTAAACCCCTGAGCCATCGGGGCGGACAAGGTATCAACATATGTTCATCTGACAGCAGGCGCGTAGCCAGGAGGGCGGTGGGGTGGTCCCCCAATAAACGCCGGCCAAAAAAGAGAGGAGTGTAAAGGAAGAGGACGTAGGAGGAAAAGGGAATAGACAAAGAACATATTTGAAATTCAGTCAAGGATTAAGAGTCGAGAAAGGTACAACGAATCGTCTTTTTTTCTCTAATGAATTAATGAAACGTCAAAGCTTCCGCGCTACGCGCGGGGGGGGGGGGGGGGGGGGGGGGGGGGGGGGGCAGGGGGTACTTAATTCAGACGAGGATAATTTTCGGGAACGGTACAACGAATCGTCTTCTTTCTATAATAATTTAATGAAACGTCGAAGCTTCCGCGCTTCGCGCGAAAGGGGGGGGGGGGGGGGAATTGATTTAGACAAGGATTAAGAGTCGAGAACGGTACGACGAATCTTCCTATTTCTCTAATGATTTAATGAAAAGTAAAAGCTTCCGAGCTTCGCGCGGGTGGGGGAAACTTAATTATTTTTGAGAGCGGAACAACGAATCGTCTTCATTCTCTAAAAATTTAATGAAACGTCGGATTATGTAATGTGTTATCGGTTCGCATAACAATGAGATTGGGCTGTTAAGATGGCCCTTAGTAGGATTTCTCGAAAGTCGTTGCGACCTTGCTCCGAACAGGGATTATGGGCATATCAGCAGTGGCGAAATGAGCAAAATATGCCGCCCGCTACCCCCCCCCCCCCCATCAGTCAGTGAAACCTAAAGAGTATCTGGGCCATGTTTCATAAAACTTGATTTCAATAAAAAGTTGCAATAACTGTGATACGCTACTGAAATTGTTGCATTTGATTGACTTAGAGTAAATTTGTTGTAGAAATGTGACACTTGCTATTTATATGATAGCAAGTTTATGAAATGGGGGCCTAGTTTTTTCTAGACTTTTATCTTTGACCAACCTATAACATATCGAAGAATAAACAATATCCACTCTTGCATTTAAATTGTATTTTATATTTAGAGTAATTGTCGTTTATAATATCGAATTAAATGTCATGTCAGTGTATACAAAAAATAAATTGAGATAACATAATAAAAATGTAATTTTTTGATTAATTATTTGTCAATGTAATTACCTAATTTGTATGAACTCTATCAATGTTGATTATAATTTGTTAATTGTTATTTTTGTCAATGCTGATTACATCTTTGTTGTATATGCAATCTAGCTGTCATTGCAAAATCATCACAATTCGGCTTTGCCGCACTGAAGTTTGATATTTAGTAATAATAATAATAATTATATCAATCTATATAGCGCAGCTATACTTAATATACTACAAACTGCGCTGTGATGAAAACAAAACTGTATAAACCATTTTACTATCTCTCTCTCTGTCTCTGGTATGGTCTAGATATACTTCCGGCGGATAAATCACATGGGAGACATGCATGGACAAAGGTTATTTGTACCAAACTATGTAAGACTCATCAAGAAAAATGCTGGGTATATGAACAGGTCGTGTTCATTAAAAGTTATAGGTAATTATCATTCATTTATTTGCACCGACGGTAGATTCTATGCAGGTGGAAGTATCTTTTTCAAGACGACAAATTATAATGTAGGTATTCACCCACCACCTGCATTTCTTTGGCACTGATTATTCTTAAATGCATATATTGACTTCTCCATGTATTACGTGGATATTTGGGGTTTATTTGTACATGTATAATATATCCGAAATGATACGTCATGCATTAATTCCCCCTACTTTACCATCAGTACAATAGTCAACACAAACGTCTGAACTTTGTTCATGCTTTGTGCAAGCTTGTATCACACCGTTCTCTGTGCATTCAATCTGTATACTTGTTTATGATAACACTGCTCCACATGAGCCCATCGGCAAACCAGTTGGTATGTTTACAGATTTCTTTTTTTTCTAGACATATCTTATATGACATTGAATCAATCTAATCGTTTCCAGCGTTCAAACTTGCATCTGTATGGCTTTAAGTATCAATAGTTTATTTTGTATTAAAGCGATTGCTATATTATGTTCAATACTAGAACGTATACACCCCAAACAACCTTTATGACCCAGCTATATAGTATAGAGCAGCGAACCGTACAATTTGATGCGTGTAATACTTGAATTGAATATTATAGGCCTATATATTACATGCATTTTAGTACTACATGTACAATGTATTTGCAATAGAGTTGTTCATTAATTGTATGCATATACCTCTTGAACAGAAGTTTATTTTGACAGCTCTAAAGCTGGCCAGAGCTGTCACACATAGCAACAACTATGTAGGCCTATACATTCCCTCCATAATGTATACTTGCATGCATGGTACTCGCATAGGAAATGCATTGAAATGATTTAGTACATAGTTTTCCGGGTTGGATCGGAACTCTGTACGTACGCCATTGATAATAACGTGACCATAAAATTGCTAATCTGTTTCAAAAATCCTTTGTAGATATACTGTACATGACTGTATGCAGTGCATAGTATGATTCATAAGTCATGATACTGCCTGTTTTGGTGATCGACGACAAACGCGCCACGCACCGCTGTCATTTTATGCAATTAACGTGGCCCAGATATCTTTCAGCTAGAAGAATAAATCGCTCTTATGACACCAAACTGCACATTGATGATCGACAGGAGACGTACAGCTCTCATATGACAGTAATTGAGAAAAGCCAGAAGAAGTGAATCATGACAGAGGGAGAGAGACATAAAGAGAGAGAGAGAGAGAGAGAGAGAGAGAGATAAGAGAGCGAGAGATCGAGAAGAGGGGGGGGGGGGGGTGGTAATGTTGCCAAAATTGGCATACTCATTATTGGACGGGGATGTGCAGCTCACTTAGCCTCGAAACCCCCACCTATTTATAAGGGTTCATTTTTAACGATTTTTCTCGAAATAAAGGCAAATCAACAACTTCCGGATGGATCGCCGTTCAAACACCCGAAAATTTGGAAAAACGGACTCAGTGATATTTTTGTAAAAAAACGAGACCCATATTTAGGTATTTTTGCTATGAAAAAGCGACCCGTAAGAGCGTCACATCCCCGTTTGATTATCATGTGAGTACCCCCCCCCCCCCCCCACCCCCAGGATAGAATTTAACACACTGGGTCGGTAAAAAACTAGAAAAACCTAGCATCTTTCTTTTTTTTACATGTGAACTTAAGTTCGAATCGCGGTCGCTTTATATTTCAAACGGACCGAATAGGCGCGTTCAAAATTGATGTAGGATGAAGTAGAAGTAATCGCCTGGTCATTATTTCGCTACATTACCAGGCGTTTTGGTTGGCACTTAATGATTCAGTTGGAGCTGCCAAATGGGAAGGATATTATAATAATAGTGGTTTATACACGTAGCATAATGCATATCATAGCTGTTTTCTTCTTTTTCCTTAACCGTGACCATCACAAGACGGTCCAAGTGCATTCAATTCTGCTTTAAAGATGGCGATTGTTTGAAGATGCAGAAACCTCGAGGCTTTTCCTTTGTCAAAGTAATAATAATAATAATAGCTCACATTAATAATGCGCCTAATACTTTGTTTCTAGGCGCAGCACATATTATTACACCAGTCATCGGATTCAGGCTTAACCGCAACGAAATGTATGCACATTTTCCACTCCATGGGGAGCATTCCAGCCAGTCACCATGTGGCTAATCCAACCACATTAACTTTCGCATCCTACCGGGTACCCAACACCTGGGTGGAGAGAAGCAAACGTAGATTAATGTCTTGCCAAAGGACATTAGTGCCGCGGCGGGACTTGACCTTGTGATCCACAGTTCGGTTACATATCCACTCGACCACGACACCTACTTTTGGCCGAATAGATGGTGAAGTACCGAGTATGGAACCTTCTATTATGATCGCCCTCCTAGATCTCTGCATAAATTCTTGGATTTTAATCTTTCTCTGTAGGCCTGCTTTTACCATGATATTTATGTTTATCTGTTTATGAAGGAATTATTTTGAAAAAATGGCAAAGTTCGGAGAAGAGGAGACTGCGGGACAGTTTTCCAATCGCCTCTACGGAATCGTAGAGGGTGGATTGACGTCGCTCTCCATCGCCTTCGGGGTCAAAACAGGTCTTTTCGACGTCCTCGTCGAGCACCATCACACACCGATGACATCACAAGAATTGGCAGATGCAGGAGGTTTTAAAGAAAGGTAGGTTCATCAATGTCAAGATGTTAATAGGGTTCGCTTGTGACCCAAATCATGTAGTTCCCCATTCATCAGTGTACATTGGTGTCTGCAATCATAAGCTGTATTGGAAAAATGTATCAAATGTAAATGAATCAATCACAAATCCTACATTAATTCATACGTTTGAAAAGATGACATAGAAGTCAACGGATCAATTATCAATCGATCAATCATAGAATATTGTAATGAAATATGATTACCAAGATGATACTTTTGTTAATGTATTGCTCTTCGATTATAGGGACGTTCAACAAACACATATCACCTCGGGGAACTATCCATCAGAAACACATTTTCATTTTATAGCTCCATATAGAAGTTTCGTTCATCAAGTTTATGCAAGAATAGGTCTCGCTCCCATTTGTCGTTATTTCCAGGGGCGCCGTTCTAATTTTGAATACGTTTTTTTTTACATTCGTCCCATGTCCCACCATCCATCCCTCCTCTCTCTCTCTCTCTCTCGGTCCTCCCACTCGTTCTCCCATCTCCTCTGCCCCCACTCTTTTCTCCTTACCCTCTTCGCCGTCTTAATTCCCTCCCTACTTCTTATTTTCCCCTCCATTTACCTTATTCAACTCTCACCGCCCGATCTTGATGACTTTAAAGGTACGTCCGTGAATGGCTAGGAACGGTGGCAGGAGCACGCATCGTCCATCTCGACCCCGTAACGGAACGCTACCACATCCCAGCTCAACTCCTCGATGTCTTCAAGAAAGGCACCCCTCAGAACCAGCTCGTCCTAGCTACCAAGGCGGTGCCCTTCCTCAGTGAGGTCTTCAACGATATGCTGGAGGTGGTCAAGAAGGAAGGTCCATTAGGTAAGTGTTCATCATGGAGGTTTCGTGGTCGAGTGGATACGTCACCATCACAAGGTCCGCGGTTCGAACCCCGCCGCGGCACTAATGTCCTTTGGAAAGACATTGATCTACATTTGCCACATTCAACCCAGGTGATGTAATGGATACCTGGCAGGAATAAATTCCTTGAATTGCTAGCGCGCCGTAATGGCAGCCGTGCTAAAGCTAGGTTAATATTCTCCCTCGATCTCCGCCTCAGAATAGTTTACTAGATCGATGGCGCATAAAAAATCCTGCGTACGCCCCTGTATACATGTATACATCATATTAGTTATTGTCAACTAGATGTCTGAAGGGATCTTTATCATTTTCATGTTTTCAAAAGAAATTGAAATATCAATATGAAGTTAATGATGATGATAATGATTCACAGCATTTGTATGGTGCCATATATCTGTTAAAAACACATTCAAAGTTAAACAAACTTTCTATGAGCAACAAGATAGGTTTGCCTATATAAGGGAGTTTACAGATAGCACATGGTACAAATGACCCAAATATCCACAGATCTTTTACACATGGAGAAGTTCCACTTTGAGCATATTTGAATAATAACTGCCAAAGTCCTAGATGTGCTTCATGAATACCTTTTGTTTGCCATCTTGAAAAGAATACTTCGACCTACGTATCATAGAATGTACCGTTGGTGCATAAATGAATAATGTTACATAACTTTCATGAGCGCATATCCAGTATTCATCTCTGTGGGTTTTACCTTTTGGTACAAATGACCTTTATCTGCCCATGCGCAGATTGTATCTGTAAACTCCCTTATTGTTTTATGCTTTGAGAAAAATTGAATAAAGACTTTTTTTGAAGAAGAAAAAATGGGTCATTGCGACCATGGTCGTTGGTTGTGCTGGAGACCGACAGCCGAGAAACCACGAGACCAAAATCCCCCAAGAGACCTTGCATATACAACTCTGTCAGAAGAACTGCGAGACCGACAAGTTCTCGTCAACTGTTGGACTCAAAAACCTCGTGAAAAATTTGTCAGAATTACAGCATATGCGGGAGCTCTTAGGGCTAAAAACGAAACGTCTTGCATCATTTTATTTACACTGATAACACCCTTAACTTTCCGGCTGATCTGGTCAGACACAGTGAAGCACAGACAGCCAGTGGCGGATCCAGGGGGGGGGGGGGGGGGGCCGGCCCCCCCCCTTGAGAAAAAACCATGTAAAATCACGTGATTTTTACCTTTTTTTGGGGGGGGGTGCAAATTGAAATTTTTTTGAGGATCAAAAATTAAAAAAATTGTGCTCACTACCCCCCCCCCCCCCCCCCCCCCCCCCCCCCACTGAGCAAATTTTTGGCCGGCGCGTTTTCAAATTTTCGGGAGCAAAAAAAAAAAAAAAGTTGGGCCCCCTCCCCTAAGAAATCCTGGATCCGCGCCTGCAGACAGCAATATTTTGGCTTTTGTCCGGGGAAAAAAAATCGTTGTTGACAGAACACTTGCTCATTCATGCCGGATTGCTGGGTACACGCCAGGCTTTTTTTCACTGCAAATTTCCCAAGAGAAACGTAGTACAATGCAGATTGCATGCATGCGATTGAGCTTTAAATATGGTAGGCTGTTCATGAGAAATCAAACCAATGACAGAAATCATTATCAATAATAGTAATTTTTTAAGCTGGTGTTCATTCCACACCGATTTTCGGAACAATCTGAATCAATGCGCTAAACCATCCAACCCTGCGTCAAGCAATTGCGTCTGCACCGAGATACTGCATTTATAAGTCATTAAATAGTGCACTCATGTGCCGAGATACATTGGCAATTGAAATTACGCCTTTTTAGCAAACAATTAAATCTCTGAAGTATTTGGTTCGTCGAGTTTTGCATTTGGTATGTGTAAAACTGTTGGCGGGACTCATCGGCCCGAATTCACAAAGGAGGTTTGTCGACAAACCTCCTTTTGTTTTTTTACAAACCAGGTTTGTAAAAAAACGCGTCAAAACGCGTCATATGACGTACATAAACCTCGGTTTGTCGACAAACCTCCTTTGTGAATTCGGGCCATCAAGTTTGTTCGTCGTTTACTGTGGCATGCAATCTTCTGAAATGCAACAACATGTTAGCACAGTGCGTCTTACCTTCGTCGGCAAATCCACAAATTTAAGGATTTGGATTTTAGTTTTTACTTCTCAAAATACACGTTGTCTTTAAATAGAAATGAAGTAGTCCTATGCTAAGACTGTTAATTTGAATTATTCAATTATTAGGTCTTCCATTTTCCAAGGCCAAGTCTTTCACTGAGTTTGAAGATGACTTCTCACGACTGTGGTACGAGAATGAGTTTCGTCAAGAGTTCATCCCATCGATTCCTTCGCTTCACACAAAACTAGGTAATACTGGAAATCATTGTTTGCCTCTAAATACTTTAATGAAAGCTCTCCACAAAGAACGATTTTGTTACTCGAATAGAGTACAGTCAATTTGTTAGAATATTCAATTTGGTGGCATGTCTATATTTCCACGGAGTGCCGCATACGAATTTTAATTTTTTTTTACTGAAATATTGGGGACAAAATATTCGATACAGTCACACCTACGCTTTCGGGGGAGGGAGGGAGGGGTTGGGGGGTTGGGAGTAATAACCAATTCCCTATATTTCCTATTGCCATTGTCCCTAATGGCATCAGAACAAAAATGTTTAATATACTATCCAAAGATGAATTTTATACTGAGTATCATAAACTCCAATAAATAAACACTATTTTGTCTGAGTATGTGTGTGTGTGTGTGTGTGTGTGTGTGGGGGGGGGGGTAGGGGGTTTAGATGGCTGGGTTTAGGGAAGTGCAATCTATATTTAATTCTTGTATTTTATATGGTGTATTCCCTACTCAATTAGAACTAGCAAAAGTAATCCCAGTTTTTAAAGCAGGTGATGTTAGTTATGCCAAAAATTACCGCCCAATATCTGTTTTACCTTTATTTTCAAAGATTTTTGAGAAGTGCTTATACAAACGTTTGAATGATTTTCTATTTTCATGTAAGATTCTGTCTGATAATCAATATGGTTTCCGCTCGGGACACTCCGCATCGATGGCGCGTTCTTGAATTTATTCACAAAGCTTGTAAAGCTATCGATTCTAAAGAATACATGGTTGGATTGTTTCTCGATTTGAGCAAAGCCTTCGATACATTAGATCATTATATTTTGTTGAGCAAATTGGAAGATTATGGAATTCGTGGAAATGTATTATTATTGTTTAAGAGTTATTTGTTAGACCGGTCTCAGTTTGTAGTTATCAATAATCATAAATCTTCAAATAAGCTAATTCGATGCGGAATGCCCCAAGGGTCCATTTTTTTCCTTTACTTTTCTTGGTTTATATGAACGATATCATTACTTGTTCTAAACTCTTACAATTTATTCTTTTTGCAGATGACACCAGTGTGTTCATGTCTGGAAGTAATCTGAACATGTTATTAGATACATTTACTGTCGAATTACATAAATAGAATGATTGGTTGTTAAATAATAAATTGGTTATAAATATTGATAAGACTCAATTTATGTTATTTACAAAGAGAAAAGTTGAAGATGATAATTTGATTATTCATTTTAGTGGACAAGCTATAAATTGTGTTTCTTTCATTTAATTTCTCGGTGTTTACATCGATGATAAATTGACATGGCATGAGCACATTGGTGTCATATGTAATAGAGTTGCTAAGGGAGTTAGTATTATTTATCGATTAAGACACTTCCCACGATATATTTTGATTATGTTATATTATGCTTTGATAATTCCACACATTAATTATTGTAATATTACATGGTCAAATAGTTCTGATTATTTTATGACGAAATTATTTAAATTACAAAAGAAGGCTGTTCGATTACTTTACGATGCCCCGTTCAATGGCCACACTTTGCCACTTTTTTAACAATTAAAGCTTCTAAATGTTTATGATATAAATAATGTTAATATTGCTATATTTATGTTTATGTGTTTTAAGGGATTATTGCCAAGGTCCATGTCATGTAAATTTACTTTCAATTATGAAATACATTCTTATGAAACCCGTAATGCTGGTAATTTTCATTTTCCTAAAATCCGTACAAATGTTTAAAAAAATACAGTTTTTTCCAAAGGGCCAGTTTTGTGGAAAAATATCCCATTTAATATAAAAAAAAACTCTACTTCACTGAATATTTTTAAACGAATGTATAAATCCCATCTTTTATTATTGTATTCAATCTCAAAATAAATGACGTTACGTTTCAGTTAATGCACTTTTTAATGTATTCCCCCTCCCCTTCCCTTCTTCCTTTTGTTGTTTTCTTCTTTTGTATTGGTGTTTAGATTCTCTCGGCTTCCTTTTCCTTTTTTCTTTTCTCAACAGTACAATGTATACTTTTTAAGGGGTTGACGTTGATAAGGCTAATTGCCCTTTTTGTTTACCCCACATTCACATAAAATTTTGTTTGCTCCTTCCCTTTGTATTTTTCTTGTAATCGATCTTTTATCTGTATACCATGTTTGTATGTTTTGATGTTTTTATGGAGAATGAAATAAATGAAATGAAAATGAAATGATTAATCCTGACTTAGGCGTATCTCATATTTCCAAATTCATGTAGTGAAAGTAATTTTGTTGATGAAGTTACATTTTAAAAATGAACAGTCCTTTTAGCAATAGGAAGAAGATGATATGTACTAGAGTGCTTACAAACAAGCCCAATTCAGAAGAAAACAGCTCAAATGTTTACTATTTTTCCTTTATCGTTTCCTCCAGACAAGGGCATCAGTATGTTGGATGTAGGGTGCGGCCACGGAGCAGGTATTCTAAAGTTAGCCGAGCACTACCCTTGCAATCGCTTCGTCGGCATCGAAATCGGAGAGGATAGCGTCAAATCAGCTCGTGACTTGGCCAACGTCAAGAACCTGACGAACGTTGAGTTCCACTGCATCGATGCAACGACCTTGCCTAAGGATTGGGCCAATACCTTCGACTACGTGTTCTTCTATAATGTCATCCAGGGGCGTAGACAACGGGGGGGGGGGGGGATGAGGGGGATGCATCCCCCCACCTCACAAGGTGGGGAGGGGGGGGGGGGGCATGTACAATCATCCCCCCAGGTTTTTGGGGATGATATTTGCTTACTTAATAAGTCATATGATGATGATAATAGTAATAATAATAATGATAACAATTATAATATTAATAATAATAATAATTATGATGATGATGATAATAATAATCCTCATCATTATTGTAATTGTGTTTATTGTTAGCCGCATTCACACGGTGAAAGCCAGTTCTAAAACAGAATAGAAAATGAATGTGATACAACAGTATACATAATAATTCGTGACAGAGAGTACCATACTACTATCTTTATAACAAGTATTATTCAAACAAACATATATAATTATGTATAATCATGAATTGTTCAACTTCATGCTCCCACTATATGACTATTGTTACACTAATACTGATATCAGGACTGACTGGTATACATTAGTTTGTTGTTAAGCTTGCAGCAGCTACATCTTTTCTGTATTGTTAACTTTTTATTTATTTTTGTTTTATTTAAGATGCACTTTGTTTTGTATTCATTTAAAATATGTTGATTGATGCATGAAGACATAAGTTCGAAATGTTTAAAGAAGTTTGTTTCATGTAAAGCGCAGTGTGAATTTACCCTGTCTTGAAATGCGAGATAAAAGGAACCTATTAGTATTAGCATTATTATTTGTATTAGTATTATTTTTTATTTGTATTATTATTATTATTATTATTATTATTATTATTATTATTATTATTATTATTATTATTATTATTATTATTATTATTATTATTATAAGACTGAGATCAAATAGAAGTAAATAGTGTCCTAATTTGAAACGATGCAATGCCGTTATGGTTCCGATTTCTTCACAAACTTACAAAGCAGTATTGTTACTCCATGGATCATAGTGATACTGTTTATGTTTTTTGTATCTGTATGTTAATGAGCCGCCAGCCAATATCCATCTATGGATACTATGCCTGTTTCTTTGAGGTAAAAAAAGCATAGTATGTACGTATTCATTATGCTTTATAATGAACAGACATATTGTTCAAAGTTTAATCGTTATTTGGGAGGGGGGACACCCCCCTCCCACACCCTCCCCCCGCTCGGTCGCTTCGCTCCCTCGCTAGCGTTGGCAGCCCAGTCATCCCCCCAGGTGTACGAACCTGTCTACGCCACTGATGTCATCCACGACTTAGCGCGTCCGGATTTGGTTTTGAAGGAAGTCAAAGGGTTATGACATCAGAGGCACTTATGTCTGTTCTTGAGATCAATGCAAGCTCGAAGCAAGCAAACAACATTGATAGTCAAGGAGGTTCTGAGTTGTATACCTTCAGTCTGTTTCATTGTCTACCTGTGTCGTGTAATACCCCTGGAAGTCTAGGACTTGGAACGGCCTGGGGGAAGGAGGCAGCGACGGAGTTCTTGAAGGAACAGGGCTTTACGATTAAATCAATAACTGAATCACCAAAACTCCATTTTCTGTGCACTGTATCGACAGAGTCCCTTAAAGGCCAATGATCATCCATTGTGCCATCACGTGTTTTGTAGGAGCCAGATTTTTTTCAACCGGGTTGCCGCGAGAAAAATTAGTTAAAGATCCATGTTAGATCCATTTTGAAATAAATCTTAATTTCGTGAAAACAAAATACATAGTTACCCCTTTTTTTCTCTGAACAGAAGATCCAATGTTTATAATAATAAATATAATCTGGATTTATATATAACGCTTAATACGAAATACCAATTCTAAGCGCTTTATATTATTACCCCAGTCATCGGATTCATCCACGCACAATGTGCAGCATATCCACTCCCTGGGGAGTATTCCTACCATAATCATGGTCACCTTGAGGGAATATGGCAATTACCAGGTCCCAATATCTCTCCTGGGAATGGCAAATGTATATGTCAAAAAGATATTAGTGCCGTGATGGGGATCGAACCCACGACTTTAGATTTCAAGGCAAGTGCTTAAACCGCTCGACCACGGTACCTCTAAATTTACAACCGTTGATCTGTATTGAAAAAAAAAATCTGTTTTTAAATAAATATGTTGAATAAATATGTGCCACATGATATTCGTATATTATCTTTTTTATTCAGTGATAGATTTTCATCTCAACATATGGAGTTCAAATACTCTGAGAGACTTTGCTTTCTACAGTTAACAACTAAAGTATTCGAACCCCTTGTAATGTTCTTTTGTAACTCAACAGCGAAAGGTGGATTGGTTGAATTAGGCCCTTTGTTGAATACTTTTCGATAAAAGCTCTGATTTGTCACATTCCCAAGAAATATTACTCGGGTAATTCCAAGAAAATTACAAAACTTGGAAAAGTAATGCATAATTTAGGTGTTAGCTATACATAATGGGCCTAGTGTTGTTTCGATGGTACTATTCGAAAATACGCTGTGATGACAGCCCTAGATGCAGCGCAACTCTTCCACGCGGCTGGCATTGTGAGAAAGCACCTATATACCTTAACTAATGACTATATATTATATATTCATTAATACACGCATGGAGTTATGGCATATAGTTCGTTACTTTTTATAATCCCCCACAACGAATTTAATTTGTTTGTAGTCTGATCTTATTCTTTATTAATTCTGCTTTAGTTCTCGTTGAATTTTTTAAATGTCTATTATGTCACTTTTGTATTGAATAATTACTATGTGTATCATTTCTATTAATTAATCTTTCTTTTAATGAAAATGTGGAGAAAACAAAAACAATTTAATTCAATTTAATTCAATCCTTAAATCTTGTCCTGCGGGGGTATAGTGTTTGAATCATGCTTTTGATTGTACAAGACAGTGTATGTATGCATTCCAGAATTCAGTCATAATTTCACTATCGAATGGACCTAATGTGTCATAAAAGGCAATGCGTCGACAGAAAATTAATGTTCTCTTGCCAAAAATAATAGAGTTGGCAATACCATGGCTCACCGAACAATTTAAAGCAAAGTTATGTTGCACCCCCGAACAAATTATGGGTTCGGGTGTCGGCGCGCGAACCCCCCCCCCCCCACCCCACCCCCCCTTCTGTGTGTGTGTGTGTGTGTGTGTGTGTGTGTTTGGGTATATTGGGTTTTTACAGACGAGTATCAATCAGATATGATTATTTACGTCTGGGGACCGACCTTTAAACGTCCTTGCATCCGAAAGACGTGACTCAATTTCAAATTGTTACATGTATCATGTATAATATACATTGTATAGTATTAATGACTGCTTTGAGAGAAATAGTTGTTTTATTACGCTCAAGGGAAGGTTAGAATTGTGCTATTAGCCCAATAGCCCAATTGTAACCTTCCCGAGAGCGTATGAAAACAACTATTTCTCGAATATTAAAGCAGTCATTAATACTTTTATATGCCGAAAAAAAATAGACTAAAAAATGAAAAATTAAAAATATTTGTCATTTTTGTCGAAGACGGGATTCGAACTCTTGCGTACAACAAGAGGTGTACCGAAAACCAACGCTTAGACCACTCGGCTATGGCCCGCCGTTAACATGTTTGGCAGTTTTCTCCAATATATACATTAAAGGGAAAGTCCACCCTGAAATTAAGTTAGTTTTAATAGGAGTAGAAAAATGAGAGAAACAAGTCAGTGAAAGTTTGAGCAAATTCCGATTAAAAATAAGGAAGTTAGGATTTTTGAAGTTGTGATCAATCAAACACAAATTGGCAACTCTATGACGTATCATGCGAGCTCAACTTCCATTTGCTCAGTACTAAAAAAATCTAAAATTTTCATTTTTCCTCAAGAAAAATTTCAACCATACATGCACCCTAAATATAATAATTGCAAATATGTTTCTATACTCCCCCTGCAAGGAACAAATATATATTCCGTCATCAATAACGAAGAAAACATGATTTTATGGAATATTATGCACAAAGCAAATGAAGGAGAGCTCGTATAATAAGTCACAGAGTTGCCAATTTGTATTTGATTGATCACAACTTCAATAATTCATAACTTTCTTATTTTCATTCAGAATTTGCTCAAACTTTCACTCACCTGATTTTCTTATTATTCTGCCTCTATCGAAACAAACTTATTTTTTGGGTGGACTTTCCCTTTAAAATGGATTGAAACCGGCTTCGCGTGTGATGAATGCTTCGCAAAAGCTCCATATACGGACTCTTCTTTTACTTTTGCAATGCATATTGGCACGAACTTAGATCAAGATCTATCGGCAGATGTTGTTTTTTTTGTTTTTGGAAGTTTATTTTCGTCTTCATGTCAACAATGCAAGATAAAATTGTCGGTAAGATCGATCGAGATTCAATTGTATTGAAATTACCGACCAATCCTTCGCACACATACGGCATCCTCCATCGCTCAAACCATTTTTTAACATGTAAACCTATGGGGTAACCATGGAGGCTGACCAACTGTTTTTAATAACCATGGTTATTAAAAATATTGAAATGTTTTATGCATGGTTACCGAGAATTTTACAGGAACAGTTGAAGTTTATGAATGCAATTCGACCAATCAGATGGCTGGATTTCTTAAGTGAGGTATATAATGTATCATATTGTACTGTTGAGAAGGAAATTAGTGTTAATAAATACAAAATACAAATATCCCTTATGCTGGAGTTGATCGTATGTGCTAAACGCGCCAAATATCTTTTACGATATTGATTCAGAATATATACATATTTCAATATTTTTGCAGTTCTTCCGCTAGTATCTTTTCTCAATAAAAAAAAATATTATCGAAAATAATATCGCTCGTGATATTCGTTTGTCTCGCAATGTATGGTGAACAAGGGATCTACAAGATCACGACGTCGACCATACATTAGGAACTTTTAGATTCTGCACGACGAGAACGCGGACTGCCCTTTTAAGGCAATGTGACATCACTGCCAGTGCCTTAAAAGGACGTCACATTGCCTGTCTTGTACAAGACAGTGCAGGCGCGTACGCAGGGGGGGGGGGGG